TTTAATTATAGATGTGGGGTGATTTGATTTAGGGTGAATATATAAAGGATTGGTGTTGTTTTTTTTTTATAAGGTGTGTATGTATTTTTATTTAGATCTAATGTTATATCAAGGAAGTCCACTTTTTTTAATTTAGTACTAACCGTAATTTTTAAGCCCATGCTTTTAAATTCTTTATATAATAACTTTCTAATTCTATCTATTTTGAAGTTAGTTGAGTTTCTATCTATAAGAACACCGGATTATATATCTTACTGTTCTTTCTTTTATTTAAATATATATATATATATATATATATATATATATATATATATATATATAATCATTTCATTCCGAGCAAGGTAATAAAGCCACTAAGACGCAAGGGATTACTGAGTGTGAAAGAATATGAGAAAAAGAAAACAATTATTAAGGAGAGAAAACAATAAAAGAACTGGAATTAACAAGACAGACGATAATGATTGATAATACATTTACAATTTTTAAAGCAAGACATCTGAAGAGACATCTTCAAACGAGAAGATCGAAACTGTTAGCACTTACGTTAAAACACTTTACACTTAGACATTTCAACAGTAAAATGATGAGACCTAACTGCCAATCTAGTAGTGCTCTTAAATTCGTAAAGTTTAGGTATCAAAGAAGAAAGCTGATCAGAAGAATTAACAGGATAATATTTATAGAAAAGGCACAGGGAAGCTATGTTATGACAGTGAGAAAGTGACTGAAGCCAATATGCCAGCACAGAACCGATAACATTGCAAGACTCTCTAAATATATAACAGAGACCTCAGACCATATGTAGCAACAATATTCAGTGTATGGGCGAGTGATAGACGTAGAAAGGTGTAAGATAGATTATGGCGAGCCAAACTGTCTAGCAGAACATAATGAATCGACTTTTCGAGCAGGACTCCTAGCATTTGATTAAATATGAACATTCCATTTCATGTCGGCGAAGTTTATTTATATTTATAAGTTTATTTCATTAAAAAGCATCGGTATTATGAAAGTTTCCAAGAAATGGTCTTTTAAATTAAGTACAACAAATAATAAACTGCTACCAAAACTTGTAGTGCATAAACCAACATATGAAAAAGTGTGAACAACAATAATGATGGGGAAGGAGTTTGTGTGAATGGGTGATAGAACAGAGACAAATCGGGATAGTAAAGAGTCAAACGTCACTTAGAGTTACACTGGAAAGGAAGTTGTGAAAAGCCATGATCGCCCATGTCCTGAAGGAATAGGGCGCATGAAAGATGATTACAACTACACGACTTTTATGATGGGCGCTTAAAACAATTTAGGCAGATATGCCCAACAACAGTTTTTTCATAATGTAGCATAATGTTTGTATTCGTAAAAACTCGCCATATTTAGCCATCTATACAAATACTACATTTTTGACAAATTAACACCTAAACGCTGTTCACTCATTGTAATTTCAAAATTCATTGTTTTCTCGTCTCTTATCTTAGATTCATTGTCCAGATTCGTTTCCGTTACGGGTGAATTCTCTTTCTCTTTTGTCTCTTTCCAGGCACCAGGTTATTCTTTACGCCTAGTGGCGTGTGTCGGCAATAAGTAAATGTTTAACACCAGCGGGTAGCTTTACTTATTCTTTTATCACATTTAAACGTCTTCGTATTCTGGCTCGCTCGTCCTTTTTCTTTTTCTTATTTCTCCTCGTTTGTTCGAGATCTGCCCACTTTACTCCCCCTTTTTTGTTCCACCTGCCCCGATGCTGTGTTAAGCACACGCTGTGAAGCACTTGAAGATTTAACCATTTTTTGACAAGTTACCACCCTCTTGTCTTCTTTCTCTTCAGCCTACACATAATAAATTGTAAGCACAAAACAATGTGTATAGCTCGACATATATCGGATCTGACAGCCTGTAGAGGCTCATACGCGTAAAGAAAACACTCTTGATTTGAAACGCTATTGTGTGCGTGTGTGTGCTTATAATTTAGCTATCCATTCATTGTTATCTGGCGGTGTTGTATGAAGAGATGACCACTAACTGTGGTGTGTTCAGTTTTCACTAGTCGCTCTACGACACTAGATCAGAACTTGCAAATATCTAAGTGTATGGGGGACTCTTCCGTCGTATTCGACGTATGAGGGTCAAGCTTAGTTCCTAGGAACCGACAGCCAGGCACCAGAACATATGATTTGATTATAGTGGTGAAGGCTTTGTGCAGAACCAACCACACTTTTTGAAGGGCCGAATACTACGTGCCACAAGATCTCCAAACGACCCTCCGCAGGTTTTGAATTTAGAGTTATCCTTCTCCTAGACTAGTTGCCATTCAAGGCTATAGAACCCAGTCTGAAGAGGATTAATACCTTTCCTAAGGGTTCGGTTCGGCATCCGTCCGTCTCGGGAGACGATGGAGTAGCGCTTCTTTTTTTTCCCCCAAAATTCTAAGCGATGGAGTTACATCGCCTCTGGTGACTGTGTAGTCCCACTCTAGAGCAGCACTCTCTCAGGCACTTGACGCAGATGAAACTGGATGTCACGGATACGGGAGCTGTCCTTGCTTTTCTTCTGGCTCTCTTTGCTGCCTGCTGATCTTCCCTCGCAGCTTCTGCAATCGTGACGCCGTCACTGACTGTGGCTCTCCAAAGTTGATGATCGTCAGCCGCGGTCTCCCAGATGTTAGGGTCGATGTCGGCCAGCTTCATCTCCCGTTTGCAGACATCCTTGAAATGGAGATGAGGTCTTCCAGTTGCCTAAGGGTATTAATAAGTAATATAATGTAATGGATGCGACTGGAATTCGAACTCGGCTCTCCGATTCCTCAATCCGAGTCGCTATCCACTACTCCACCGTGCCTCCTTCTAAGTGTATAATCACCCAGAACCTGGTCTGTATCAATAATTAGGTCTCTCACATTACGTTTAGTGTAATGATCTTGTAGTCTTGTAGTAGTCTTGTGGTAGATTAAATACTAATATTTATTGATTTAAGCGCAATGTAGATAATGATCGAAATTACTTGGGCTTTGTATTTACGTTCAAATCATATGTAGATGAAATTGTAAATCTTACGCTAAATAAAGTAATAAATAAATTTTTATTTAGAAGTATTAAAAAATTAAGAAATGATATCCCAAGCTTGTTGAAATGTGCGGCTGAAAATATAATGAACAACATGAATGTTTCATGACTCTTGATCCTGCTTTTCTTGTTCAGACCGAGAACTTTTCAACTCCTATCAAATATACTGGCATATTGAATATACGCATGTCTTCTATTTGCTTTCCTTCGGCTGAAACGTTTTTATTTTTCTTCATTAAACGTGTGAAGTTCGATATTTTTCCACCAGTCTTATTATCTGTGCTGATATAGAACTTTGAACACAAATCGAAATTTCCTTGTCGCAAAAGAAGAATTGACTTTTTAAAAAAAGAAAATTCTTCTTTTGCGACAAGTCTATGCAACAATTCAAGATTTAGATTCCAGTAGAGTTTAGAAAAAGTGTCAAAACATTGACATCATTTTACCTAATAACGTGCAGTTCCCCCTTTGTCTGAATAACAGCGGCTACACAACGTGGTTATATCAATCCAGGCACATTCCAGTGTGGTTCCCAACTGAACTAAGTTTATAAGGGATGGCTACAGGAATTTATTAAGGTCAGCAACATATCCTAAGCATGTTCCATTGGCTTTAAATGAGACAATCGTAACTGGAAACCAGTCAGGTGATCGTGGAGTCAGTTTCGAGTCACCCGCATGAAATGGAGAGGTTGTGTTTACTAGTTAGATTACATCATTATCACTGGAGAACATAATGGCTATAAAGGGGTTTGTAAAAAGATCTGTGGGTGGCAAATCTGTCAAGATAAAACTCCAGTTTCACGAAAGGTCCGGACGAGCTTAAACACACAACGGCTGATAGCATTTCATAGCCACCCCCAGCTTGTATCACATCCTGACGATAACTTGGATTCATAGCCTCATGCCTCAGTCCTCCGCACACTATATTGGCCATATACTCAAAAGAGCTGGAAATATGACTGTTTGCAAATAAAACGCCAGTCTCCCACTGTCCCGTGGCAATGTTCTCTACTCTAAGTGAGGCGTAGTAACCGATGCCACAACATCAATAATAGTACTCTTCTTTGTTGACAACAACAAAACTACGTGGAATACAGGATAAATGGTATCAGTGTTGAAATGGGATGTGATCTGATTTTCTTTCATTGATCTAAATAACATCGTCAGTCGCCGGTGTTCATGTTCTTGCATTGTGTGCACGATCGCGGTTTTTACGTAAGACATTGATGAAGAAAAACACAGAGTAGTTGCCATCTTTTTGGCTCAATTAATCATTCTGGGGTCAATGTTAAATCTATCACAGCTACAATACCTCTTTACCTTTTACCTCACATATACGTCACTCGGTTGAATCCATTTCTAAAAGAATGGGAAAGTGAAATAATTCAGTTTACTTCTATCTAATCTTTTGAAACATCGTTTTTTTTTATAGATGTTTAAAATAAAAGCTAAACTGAGAGAGACACAGAAGAAGAAAATAGAAAGGAAGAAAGACAGACAGAGAGAAGTGAGAGAACGAGGGATAGAGAGTAACTAAATTAAAAAGGAAAGCAGTAAAGAAAGATTACGAGACGAGTGGGTGTATGTAATAAGAAAGAAAGGATGAAATAGAAAAGAGTGGGTGGGATTTCTGGATAGGTAAAAGAAAAATGGATGGATAACGAGATATCCTGTTATTTTGCAATTTATTCGTTGCTATGGTGACCAGGTAGCTAAACACCTGTGCTTCCATGAGAACCTAAGACATATTTTGTGTGTGTGTGTCTGCATTAGCAGTATCAACAGAAATAGAAGTCTTGATTAAAACTCTCTCAGATGAAAAGGTTTTATATATTTTAGATATGTACAAAAGTTCCCAGTGGTTTTTTGAAAAAAACTAGTGATTGAATACACGCTTAAAAAAGTCGTTGTCGCTGAAACATTTTGGACATATTTAATAAGATACATAGACAAATAAAGGAAGAGAGAGAGAGAAAGGAAGAGAGATAGAGAGATAAAGGATGAGAGAGAGAGAGAGACAGAGACAGACAACCATATAAAGGACGAGAGAGAGAAACAGATAAAGGAAGAGAGAAAGAGGAGAGAGACAGACAGATAAAAGAAGAGAGAGAAATAGACTGATAAAGGAAGAGAGAGAGAGAGAGAGAGATGCAGATAAAGAAAAACGGAGAGACAGATAAATGATGAAAGAGAGAGAGAAAGACAAACAGATAAAGGACGAGAGAGAGAGAGAGAAAGAAGAGAGAGAGACAGACAAAAAGAAGAGAGCGATAAAGGAAGAGACAGACAGAGACAGAGAGAGACAGATATAAAGGACGAGAGAGAGAGATAAAGGAAGAGAGAGAGGAGAGAGAGAGACAGATAAAAAGAAGAGACAAATAGACTGATAAAAGAAGAGAGAGAGAGAGTCAAACAGATAAAGGACAAGATAGAGACTGATAAAGGAAGAGAGTGAGACAGACAGACAGATAAAGGGAGAGAAAGAGAGACAGATAAAGGAAGAGAGACAGATGAAAGGGAGAGAATCAGACAAAAGAAGAGAGAGAGAGAGAAAGATAAAGAAAGAGAGAAATAGACAGATAAAGAAAGAGAGAGAGAGAGCTAAAGGAAGGGTGAGAGAGAGGGATAAAAGAAGAGAGAGAGATGCAAACAGATAACGAGGACGAGAGATAGATAAAGGAATAGAGAGAAATAAAGGAAGATAGAGAGACAGATAAAGAAAGAGAAAGACAGATAAAGAAAGAGAGACAGATAAAGGAAGAGAGAGAGAGAGAGAGACAGACAGATAAAAAAGAAGAGAAAGACAGATAAAGAAAGAGAGAGAGACAGATAAAGAAAGAGAGAGACAGATAAAGGATGAGAGAGAGAGAGAGATAGATAAAGAAAGAGAGAGACAGATAAAGAAAGAGAGAGACAGATAAAGGAAGAGAGAAAGAGAGAGAATGTTTTTAGTGCTTAGTATTTTGTGAAAGATTTAAGCATTCTTAGACAGAATAAAGAATTTAATGCATCAAAAAAAAATCATGAAGAATGTTGAAGCTCTATAAGAATATTTCTTTGGCTATAATTATCGGCAAAATATAACCCTATTTGGAATGAGGTTGGTTCACGAGAAAGAAGATAAAACTGATTTTCCTTTTTGCATGTGCCCAGGCAAAGAATCATAAATAAATAAAACACATATCATCATAGCAAAAACTCAAACAGGTTTCAAATATTAGACGCGTACAGAAGATCCTAGATCTTCGGGCGATATTAATTTAGTTCAGTTATACGAGGTTTATCAGAAAACGAGTCAGTCAATTAATATTAATGAAAAAGTGTCGAACCTAGGTTAATAACGTTTTTTGTCCACTTAAAAGCACTCAACTTAGGGCAGCATACACTCACTGCAGCGTTCCTCCTACAGTTTACAAAATTCTCTTTAGAGTCTGCAAGCACTACCTTGTAACGTTCTCTTTAATCTTGTACACGGTCCGAAATAGCCTCCCTTTCAGCGGCGGTTTTTAGTTACAGAGATCCAAATCTGAAGTGTGGAGAAGGATGCCTCTTCCGGTGATTCAAATAATTTAAAACAAACCTAGAGGTGATATTCAAAATTGCTGGATACTTTCCGGACCATTTATAGAATGGCCAGATTTCCTTTTAGTTCTTGCGCTGTTAATCTTCGATTTCCTTTGATTTCAATCAACACGCGTTAAAAAATTATCGCTGTTCGTTGCAGATCTTGCAGGACGTGGACTGATTCCAACGGATCTTCGGTTAAATTTGAAGCGTTATTATCAACATTTGTGTTTCACTCTTCATCAAAAATTGTTGATTTATTCGAATATTTTCCACGGGTGACCTTGATGTACATATACTGATCCATTTATTCAATCATTGTGAACGTGAAAGTAACACAATACAAAATATGACTCAATTATATCTCACTACAGACTGAGAAACCCTAAGGGAGAGTATTTTTTGCGTCTGCAAAGCAAGTTTCCCGTTGATTGTGAGTGAAATTGGATAGCCAGAACTCTTTTGATCACATCGATGGTTCTGCGAGCAACTACTGAGGAGTCATTGTGGCCGAGGACTTCGGCGTACTGGCCTTGTTCAACTACTTATCGCTCCAAATTGTGCCCCCTTCCACAGAAATTGCAACTAATGTTCGCTCAGCATAGTTGCAGTATAAAGTTGACTTTTGTATGTGATGAAGAAATACAAATGTATCTGAGAGGGGGGAGTGTCTGCAATAGGAATTGGTCAGTCACCCTAGCAGTACTTGGAAAATAACTCGACAAAAGAAGAGTAAGAAATGTAAAACACATTTTTATTAATTTCGTTGTATTTTTCTTATTGTAATGATTATCTTTAATTTTCTTATTGTAATGATTATCTTTCATTTTCTTAATGTTTCCTCTTGCATTTTTAATTTACAATTTTTGCAGCGGAAATGTTGAATGGTTAAGAATGATTGTAAATATCTAAATGTCAATTTTAAAGTGTCTGATTTCCTAAATTACTTGCAATTGGAAGTTTGAAGGAAAAACAGATTTTCAGGGGCCATAAATCTAACGGTGTAGATGAAAAGAAACACGAGAATCGCCAGATGCAGTTTGTGAGAGAATTGCAACATTTCCCATTTTCTGATGTCAATATTCAAATGTACATATTCTGGATTAGATTTCATTTTAAGTCTGAATTTCTCTCTGTATTTGAAATTAAGCAGAATAGATTCGCCTAACGCCCGGTTCAAACACTTGGCCGCTTTTATAAACAGGAGTAGAGATTTATCCCTCGTTTCCTGTTTAGGATTGGGTTTCTGGTTCTTTCTAAAGTCTTTTATTTGCTTTCATTTCCATTATCCCTCCTTGCGTCTTAGTGGCATTATCGCCTTGATTGGGGTGAAATGATTTAAGAAAAAAATTGTTTCGGAAAGTCAGCGATTAAAATTGCGTTAATGAATCGATACTATCCCGAAATGTTTTTGAATTCCCTATCACTTTTCGTGGTGATAATATTTTCAAAATTTTGTGCTTCAGCTTCTTATTCATGTGTGTAGTAAAACTCTTTATTGTTTGTACCGATACATGAGTTAACTGATCACGTGTGCACCAATGTTACTCCTTCAGTGAACAAATGTCCATTCGACATTTTTATATGTAAACAAGTAAAGCCAAGTGAAATTCTACATTAGCTGAAAATGACTCGTGTCGGAAACAAGTGCCATTCATGACATTTACATTCCGTTACTCAACCTAAATGACGTATTTGGTAGAGATAATGACGGAGCAAATTTGTATAGAATGTCATTAAGATTCACTGTTTTTCGTTTAACAAAGAATAAATTATTTATCACATTAAATTATTACGCTAGTAAACAGGTTTACCAGGCGGTAGTTTTCCTTAAAATAGTTCTTTTACCCAAAACATGGAGGCATAGAAATCAGGAATCTTTTTGTACCATTGAAATACGATTTATTCTGAGCTTTACAAAATTGTTTGAATTAAAAAAAATCATTTCTCCTGTTGAAGAGATATTTTAAAAAAAAATCATTTCACCCCAAACTAGGCAATAAGATACAAAGATGTTATTGTGAAAAATATGAGGAGAAAATCATTATTATGAAGAGAAAACAATAATAAAATAAGAATTAAGATAACAGAAGATAACGATTGACATTGATGTAAATTTTTAAAGGTCAAAATTCAAAGTGTAAAGCCAGAGTTTGGAAGAGAGTTCCACAAGTGATATGATCGAGAGAAGAAACTGTTCGCATAGAACTTACGGTTACACTTAGCCATTTTAACTGTAAAATGATGAGACCTAGCTGCCAATCTAGTAATGCGCTTAAATTCATAAAGTCTAGGTACCAAAGAGGAAAGCTCATCAGAACAATTACCTTGAAAATATTTATAGGAAAGTCACAGTGAAGCTACGTTATGGAGATGAGAAAATTACTGAAGCCGAAATGCCAGGTGAGGACCGATAACATTACCGATTCTTCTTCAATTCTTCACTAAATATATAAAGCAAAAGAACCAGACCAGATATGACAGCAATATTCAATGCAAGGACGAATCGTAAACTTACAATTGGTGTAAGAAAGATTCTGTTGATAGATTCAATTTGTTGAGTAATATTAAGTTGGTCTATTTTATTTTCAATTAACACCAATATATTTTATTGCTTAAGTAGAAAGAATACAAAAGCGAGGAATGGACTTGTGAATGTAGTGATGTCTTTATAGTACATGCATATGAATGAAGTTCTTACGAAAGATTGTGTGAGACATTCTTTGTTGGTTTGGTGGAATTATTTGATAAAACTGTGTGTAGCCAATTAAACATAAGTATGTGTTGTATACTGAGTACTTTCTATATTGTGTTCAGTCGGCCTCTTTATTATCTGCCTATATTTCTGAGATGAGGTATTATGTACACTATTTACATTGCTCGGACTATCATCCTCATCTTTGTTGCCATATTTATCACAACGTTTCGGTCGTTGGACGCACCGGCCGGTCTCTTTATGTAAAGCGGAAACGAGACACATCTTATGTTTATGGAATTCAGTGAGTAAAAGAAAAAATTGGAGATACGCATTTGCACCATTTCTTTTATGCTGCCTTACAAACGCCATCTAGCGGTTGTTAGCAGAAGTTGTTTGGCAGACAAGTGGGGTAATCCTGCATCCACAAAATTGAAAAAGGCATTTAGTATAGTTTTTGTAGAAAAACATTAAAGGTTCTACGAAGATGACATTATGAAATTGCATGAAAGCTGGTAGATGATGACGGATCAAAATGGTTAATGTCGAAAATAAAATATTCCTTTTTTTCTTTACTTTATAAACGAAATGAACTTTATAAATGGGATGTAATAGATTTAGAAATCAGTGGCGATGTACAAATCCGTTTTGAAATCTATAAAATCATTGAAATAGACTCACAAAAAAAACCCCAAATAGAAACAATCATGAGAAAAGAGTTTTGATAAATAGGAACGCATCTGACAAAATCGTTGTTTCTAACGAACCAGCACCGCTGCAGACGATTAAAAAAGTTACATCAATAAAATTGAATTACGAAATAATAAATCTGTTTATTTTTCCCGTTAATATTTTATGTTGATCATCTTCCTTTTCGGTTTTGCCTTCCGAAATAAAATCAAAAACAAAACATTTTTTTCGTATTTAAACTATGTTTCTAGAGAAGGAAAGTTTATTCTTCCTTGCCTTTCTCTTCCATTTTGCCCGGTTGATTTTATTGTTGGTGTTTTTTTTTAAATTGTAGTAAAAACAATGCTTGAGCGCGTTTTTCTTTCATATTGTTTTGTCATTAAAGTAGCTTTTGGAGTTTCTTTAAACTATGCAGGCTTCTTCTGAACAATGTTTCTTTCTGAGAAGTGAATCCTATATTCTTTAGTCATCAATTCTAATCCCTCGGTTACGTCGTGCAAGGCTAAATCGGCGCACTGGGGGAACAATGAAGACTTATAAAAAATATATTCCATGTTAGATCACTGCTCTATGTTGGTAGAATATAACAATCATCACGCACACAACCACAAACACATACACACACGCACGCACACACACACACACACGCATAATTATATTGTATCATCTTTGCTATATTCATTGACGATGAGCGTCCAATATCAGACATAGAACATTTGTAGATATAGAAGCTGCTATGTACATTATAATGGCTGGTCAAAAGTTCAAGATTATATTTAAACGAAGTTTTAATTGATAAACACTTCGTATTTATTGCTTTGAATGAGTGAAATTGACAGTCATTATGCATTATCTCTCTCTCACACACACACACACACACTCTCTCTCTCTCTCTATATATATATATATAATGATTTTCTAAGCTTGGCTAAGATGTGGTACAAGGCCGAAAGTATGGGGCACCCAGTGAGGATTGAACTCACTACTCAGTCGTAATTGATCTAGCAAGACAAGCTTTCTAACAATTACACCACGTCGAGGTGACACACGCTCTCTCTATATATGTGTATTTATATATATGCATATGGATATATCTATGTGTGTGTGTGTGTGTGTACAGAATGTGATTATACATATTTATCCCTTCTTAGTAATGTGATATTTCAGTGTTGTAATAAAAGAGGGTGACAATACTCAATACCGACAAATAAATGTG